AGATGGTGGAAGTGTATGAGGAATCTTAATCGCCCAGAAATTATATTCATTTTTATTCAGTTCAAATGAATATCGAACCACATTTTCAGCTTGCTCTCTGCAAAATTTGTTATACGATAATTAATGTCTCCTCAACAACAACGCTAAGCAAAATTTCCGCTCTAAATTCATGCTGCACGTTCCTCGTTGATTTCCTCAAGTAATAATACTTTTCCGGTTCTTTCAGCTTTACTCTATTCAATCGATAAATCGATAAAAATCGTATCTTTCCATTTTTCCGATGGTTGACGAGCAATCAAATACCGTCGCAAGTCCAAATGTAAGCAAGCCAAAGGTATGTGTGCTTTTCGAATTTGTTCGTTCTTCCTTTAATTATCATTTATTGTTTCTTCTTTGTTATTCTGCCTTAATTCCCGAAAAAAATTTTTTCAAAACTGTTGCGATCCAAATTGAAATGAGCAAATGAGTATGTATTAATGCGTATTTACGATGATTAATTCCGTAATTCCAAAAGGGTTGAAAATATGTTGCATCTTGCAAAAAATAAATCAAATCGGAAAACCGAAATGAAGTGGAATATAAGCGGAAATGATTTGTTTTAGAGTGAGAAACGAAAAAATCACGATGAAGTGGTGGCGGAAGGTAAAGAAGAGCAGCGTGAGAAGGAGGAAGGCGAGCTGGCGGACGGTGATATTGATGCGGATTCTGGGAGCGAGGCTGGAGACGAAAGGAAACATCAAAAGCAAAGCAGTGGTGGCGAAGAGGAGAATTCAACTGGTATCATTTATGAAATGATTGCATTGTTCCTCAGAAGTGGTCTTGAATTCACATTACATCTTACTTGAAAGGAACTCAAATTATGTGATTATGAATCTTCCAGCTTTCTGCAGTTTTGCATTTTAATGTTCAGTCCGAATCTTTTCGTGTATTTTTATAAATCATTCAGTTTCATAAATGACCAGTACTTGATAGCTCTTTTCACGAGAAGCAGTAGAATTTCCATTTCAATAAAACAATTGTGGTGGGGTCAAATTAAAGAATGAATTCCTTCAGAAGTAGTGAAATTGAAAGTAATTTCTTTTTTGAATACGACTACAAATCTGCAGATCATAGTGAAAAGGCAGCTGCTAAAGAGCGAAAAGATAGTCGGAAGAAACGAAAACATAAGAAGGAGCGAAAAAGGCGACCCTCTCAGTCAGTAGAAACAGCGGATAAGACAACACGTAACGGTGGTGCTGCTGCTGCTGGTGGAGATCGACGAGATGATTCGGCCAGTACGAGAAGGTCGAAATCACCAGCCAACAAGGTCAGGGTTGTTCTGATACCATCTTGTTGCATATTCCGAGATGAAAGAATGCCACTAAATGTTGAGTTTATTCTTGACAATTGAGTTAGTGACATATAGCGAGTTGTTTGATATTTTAGCGATCAAGACCTGAGAAAGATCGACGCCATCGTTCGCGCACTCCGGAGGATCGAGATCGAGATCGTGACAGAGAGCGGGACAGGGGAGATAGGCGAAGACGATCCGAAAGTCCTGACAGGAGACGAAGTTCGAGGAGAGGCGATCGAAAAGGTTCATTTCAAACTGATATTGTCGTTTGAGATTGATATTATCTGACTGTTGTGATAGTATTGAATGATTGTATAGGAAAACAACAGTAGTTATATTTTCATTGATTTT